ATAAACTCAAAATGGCTTAAAGACTTAAATATAAGACAAGACCCCATAAAATTCCTAGAAGAGACTGTAGGCAAAACATTCTCTGATAGAAACTGTACCAATGTTTTCTTAGGTCTCCCACGGCAACAGAAAATAAACAAAATAAAAACAAAATTAAACACATGGGAGTCCGCCTGCCGATGCAGGGGACACGGGTTCGTGCCCCGGTCCGGGAGGATCCCACATGCCGCGGAGCGGCTGGGCCCGTGAGCCATAGCCGCTGAGCCTGCACGTCCGGAGCCTGTGCTCCGCAACGGGAGAGGCCACAACAGTGAGTGGCCCGCATACCGCAAAAAATAAAATAAACAAATGGGACCTAATCAATCTTACAAGCTTTTGCACAGCAAAGGAAACCATAAACAAAACGAAAAGACAACTTATGGAATGGGAAAAAATATTTGCGAACAATGTGACCAACAAGGGCTTAATTTCCAAAATATACAAACAGTTCATACAACTCAACAACAACCAAAAAAAAAAAAACCAAACAGCCAAATCAAAAAATGGCTAGAAGACCTAAATAGACATTTATCCAAAGAAGACAGATAGATGGTCAATAGGCACATGAAACAATGTTCAACATCACTAATTATTAGAGAAATGCAAATCAAAACTACAGTGAGGTACCACCAACTCACACCAGTCAGAATGGCCATCATTAAAAAGTCTATACACAATAAATGCTAGAGAGGGTGTGGAGAAAAGGGAACCCTCCTTCACTGTTGGTGGGAATGCAAGTTAGTACAGCCACTATGGAAAACAGTATGGAAAACTAAAAAGGTATTACCATGTGATCCCACGCCTGGGCATATATCTGGAAAAAGACGTAGTTCAAAAGGATACACATGGGCTTCCCTGGTGGCGCAGTGGTTGAGAGTCCACCTGCCGATGCAGGGGACACGGGTTCATGCCCTGGTCTGGGAAGATCCCACATACCGTGGAGCGGCTAGGCCCGTGAGCCACGGCCACTGAGCCTACGCGTCCAGAGCCTGTGCTCCGCAACGGGAGAGGCCACAACAGTGAGAGGCCCGCGTACGCAAAAAAAAAAAAAAAGGATACACGTGCCCCCATGTTCACTGCAGCACTATTCACAATAGCCAAGACATGGGAACAACCTAAATATCCATCGACAGATGAATGGATAAAGAAGATGTGATGCATGTATACAATGGAATATAACTCAGCCATAAAAAAATAACGGCACATGCAGCAACATGAATACAACTAGAGATTACCATACCAAGTGAAGTAAGTCCGAAAGAGAAAGACAAATACCGTACGAAATCACTTATATGTGGAATCTAAAATAGGGCACAAGTGAACCTATCTATGAAACAGAAACACACTCAGACATAGAGAACAAATTTGTGGTTGCCAAGGGGGAAGAGAGGTAGGGGAGGGATGGACTGGGAGTTGGGGTTAGTACATATTACATATAGACTGGATAAGCAGCAAGGTCCTACTGTATAGCACAGGGAACTATATTCAATATCCTGGGATAAACCATAATGGAAAAGAATATTTAAAAAGGATGTATATATGTGTATAACTGAGTCACTCTGCTGTACAGCAGCAATTAACACAACATTGTAAATCAACTATACTTCAATAAAAAATAAATTAAAAAATGATATTTCAGTTTTTACCTATCAAATTGACAAAATGTAAAAAATTATAATACTAATCTACAAAAAGTTCCTAAAGTTAGTAAGTGAGTTTTGCAAGGTCACTGAATAAAATCAATAGACAAAACCCAATTGTATTTCTATACTAGCACTGAACAGTTAGAAATTGAACCATGTCATTTAGTATAATCTAACAAAATATGTACCGGAACTATATGCTGAAAACAACAAAACACTGATGAGAAAAACAAAAGAAAATGTAATAAAATGGAGAGATAGACCATGTTCGTGGATTGGAAGACTCAGTATCTTTAAGCATGTCAAACTTCCCCAAACCGATCTACAGATTTAACACAATCCCAGTTAAAATTCTAGCACGGGGGCTTCCCTGGTGGCACAGTGGTTGAGAGTCCGCCTGCCGATGCGGGGGACGCGGGTTCGTGCCCCGGTCTGGGAGGATCCCACGTGCCGCGGAGCAGCTGGGCCCGTGAGCCATGGCCGCTAAGCCTGCGCGTCCAGAGCCTGTGCTCCGCAACGGGAGAGGCCACAACAGTGAGAGGCCCGCGTACCGCAAAAAAAAAAAAAAAATTCTAGCAGGATTCTGTAGACACTAACAAGCTGATTCTAAAATTTACATGGGAATGCAAGAAACTAAACAGTTAAAACAATTCAGGAAAAACAAGATTGGAGGATTCACACTACCTGGCTATAAGACTTACTACAAAGCTGCAGTAATCAAGACAACGTGCGGTATTTGCTAAAGGATAGACAGCATAAACCAATAGAACAGGGTGCAGAAATAGGCCCACAATTACAAGATCAATCGATTTCCAATAAAGGAGCAAAGGCAATTCAGAGGAGAAAGAACTACTTTTCAACAAATGGTGGAAGTAATGGATGTCCAAATGGAAAAAAAAACCTTCAATCTGGGCCTCATACTTTATATAAAAAATCAATTAAAAATGGATCATAGACTTAAATGTAAACGATAAATTATAAAACTTTTAGCAGAAAACATAGGAAAAATACTTATGATCTCCACCTAGGTAAAGACATCTTAGCAATAACATCAGAAACAATCTCTAAAAGAAAAAATTGATGAATTGGTCTTTAATTAAGAACTTTTGCTCTGTGGGAGACTGTGTTAAGAGAATGAGAATACAAGCCACAGACCATAATAAAGTATAAAGTATTTGCAAATCACTTATCCGACAAAGGACATGTATCCAGACTATATAAAGAACATTTAAAACTCAACAGCAAGAAAACAACCCAGTTCAATGGGCCAAAGGTGGAACAGGTACTTCACCAAAGAAATACAGATGGCAAATAAACCCGTGAAAAGATGCTCAACATCATCAGTCATTGAGGAAATAGAAATTGAAACCACAATGAGTTACTACTACACACACCTATTAGAATGGCTAAAACACACACAAAAAACTAGACATTACCAAGTGCTGACAAGTGAGGCAAACTGGAACTCTCACTCATTGTTAGAGGGAATGCAAAATGGCAGCAACATTTAGGTAAACGGTTTGGCGAGTTCTTATAAAATTAAATATACACTTACCACATGGCACAGCAATCTGACTCCTAGTGTATTTACCCAAAAGGAGTGAAAATTTTTGTTTACACAAAAGCCTATACATGAACAGATGTAGAGAACAAACATGGATACCAAGGAGGAAAGGGGGGGCGGGGTGTGGAATGAATTCGGAGATTGGGATTGCCATATATACACTATTGATACTATGTATAAAAGAGACAACTAACGAGAACCTACTGTATAGCACAAGTAACTCTACTCAGTGCTCTGTGGTGACCTAAATGGGAATGAAATCCAAAAAGGAGGGGATATATGTATACGTATAGCTGATTCACTTTGCTGTATAGTAGAAACTAACACAACATTGTAAAGCAACTGTCCTCCAATAACAAAAAAAAAAGCCTATACATGAATGTTTACAGCAACTCTATTCATAACTGCCAAAAACTGGTAGAATCCCAAACATCCTTCAAGGAGTGAACAGATAAATCACGTGTGGTGCTCCGCACAATGGAAAGCTACTCAACAATAAAAAGGAACAATCTACTGATACAAAGAACAATATGGGTGAATTTCAAAGGCATTACACTTAGTGAAAGAAGCCAAACTCAAAATGGTACTATAGATTTGTATGATGCTCTGGAAAGATAGAACTATACGGAATGAAGAAAACATCAAATGGTTGCTAGAGGTTAGGGGTGAGGGGTGGTTTTGATTACAAAGGGACAGAAAAAGAATGTTGTGAGGTGATGGAACTGTTCTATATACTGACTGTGGTGGCAGTTACACAACTCAGTGCATTTGTCAGAACTCACAGAACTGCACAACAGCAAAGCAAATTTTACTGCATGTAAATTTAAAGTTAAAATTTTAAAAATATATATAAACCCTAGGTATTACAGGCTGAGACAGACTGCAGGGAAATGGCATTCTCATTAACTGCTGACAAGAGCATAAAGTAGTACAAACTCAATCTGGCAAAACAAGACAATAAAAGCATGAATTCAAAATAAGGCACCATAAGGTTCTGAAGACAAAGAGAATAATAAATACTCCTTAATCTTCAGCTCTCCATTCTACATAGAAAACCCAAGATTCAAATTTTCAGAGTGGTTGGTACATGGCCAGTGTTCAATGAATGATGCTGATGAACGAATGGAAGGAAAGGGTGAATATGCAGCAATTCCACTTTTGGGCATCTGCCCAAAGGAAATAATTAAGGCTGTACAAAAGACTTAATTATTAAGAGGACTATAAAATGCAACATCACACACTCCTTAAAAATGGTCATGTATTTCTCCACTTGCTGGCATAGGAAGATGTCATGATACATCACTGTGTTTAAAAAGAACACTCCAAAACAACATCCAGCACAGCCCCACTTTTGTTCAAAGAAAAACTATAGATCTATAAATCCTGTATCTTCTTTTATTCTGCAGGGATGAATAACACACCTGAAAGACTACAGAGCACAATATTAAATGTTCATCTCACGGCAGTAGGATTACTAGTGATTTTTAGTTTCTTTTTACTCGGTCAGCATTTTGTTTTTCCCACAACGAAGATCTGTTATTTTACAATTAACTTTGTTTAAAGAGCACTGATAAGAGAGTCCTAACACTTCTGAGATAAACGGAATCTTCTGGGGCTGAGATATCCAGGAGGAAAAACACCCTCTTCCTCAGAAGCCCTATCTGAGAGAAGATCCAGTCTCAAAGGACTAGAGGTCTGACCCACAGAGGCTATTCTCAAACATGCCCTCTGAGGGAAAAAAGGCTGGCACCCACCTGTATAGATGTCCATGAAGCTGTGCAGGGCCAAACAATGGGGATTCAGACACATCTTCACCTGGGCAGTCACCACCTGCAGCCAGCTGGCTGTCAGCAGCCAGCACTCCTGAGGCCCGGCCAGGGAGCTAGTACCAAGAACATCAACAAAAAAACAGAAGGGAAATCAACTTACTGCAGTTCCTGGGCTCAATGATCAATGGCAAAAATCCTCAAGACTTTAAATATAGTAGGCAAATGAAGGTGTTGGACCTTGCGTTCCAAGGATTTTCTAGGTGGGTGTTCCCACTTCCCTGGACTGGCCTATAGAATCACCCCTCAAGTTAATATAATTCTGAACTTATAACCCAATTTAACCAACCCCAATGAATTCCCAAATCCAAGCATTATGCCAGGCAGTCCAGAAGTAAACTAAATTCTAAGTTGGTGATAGTAACATTTCAATAGAAATGATGGATAATCACTATTATCATTATTATTTTACTTCTGACAATTGGAAAAGTAAAGGAAACCTTAAGAAAAGCTGAGAAGGACATCTTCAAAGGTTATAGCCTTAAAGGTATTTGAAGAAAGGGGCAGTACAGGCCATGTAAGATGGGGCAGCTAGGGAAGGGTAAATCTGAAAGAGGTGCTTACTTTTGTCCCCCTTTGAACAATGGGCTGCTACAGAGAAGGCACTGCGTGGATGGAGACTCATAATAATTCGACCAAGAAGTCTGCTCGATGGTGACCGTCTCCTCACTCACGTTGGACAGGACGAGTCGAGAGCTATTGAGTTCATGAATCAAGGCGAAGACCTCAGCCAGCTCTGACTCATTCTCAGGAATCTGCAGGACTTTGCGCAGCAGCTGCAGCGTTGACTGGCGCTGGATCTCCCTCTGGGCTGCGCTCAGGGGCTCTGTGGCGCTCAGCACATCCGGGAGTGGTGAGCTCGCCTCCTGAAGAGAGTGGATTGATCACTAAGCGCCCAGGGCACAAAGAGCCAGCGTGAGGCCAAAACCATGAGTGGCAGAGGGATGGGCCCATGACTGAGAGGTGGGAAACCTAGGTTCCTAACCAACTCAGCTAACAACCCACTGTGTGACTCACGGCAAGTGTTTTCTCTCTGTAGCGCTGTTTCTCTACCAGCAGAATGAGAGGATTATACACACCTCTTGGTAATGGTTTCAAGAGTCGGCTCCCATTCACCGGGTATTGGGTTTGGAGGATAACAGTCCAGGGGTTCAATTCTGGTTAGGCCACTGAACAGCTATATATATATGGGTGACCCACAGCAATTTACTTAATCTCTCTAAGCCTCAATTTCCTCACCTACGAAATGAAGGATCAAAATACTAATAATCTCCTAGAGTTGTTGTACAGTAAATGAGATAGTATTGCAACAAAAATTCTATGAATGGTAATTATGATTTATAAACAAGTACCTATACAGCTTAAAGCATTTATCTTTAATAGTGTGTGGCTTCTTGGTACAAGGCAACTTTATACACCAGTCAGAGGCTTCCAGGAAACAAGGTTCTGAAACACTCACTGAAACAGGTCCTTCTGAGGCAGGTCCCTTTTCAATGGAGGTCCCTCCCTGATCCCTTGTGCAAATGCAGTGTGAAATCAAGCCCTCCTTCTTGCTCCCAGAGTCCACTCCTTTACTGCAGATTTCATTTTCTCACAGTTGGTAAACCAGTCCCCTGCCCTGCTTATTTACTGATTCCCAATACCACCATGAGGGCACACAAAAGATGCTAATTCATATTTGCTAGACACATTATTTTGTTTTACAGAAGTGAACTGCTTAGTAACAACGTATTACTCAGTATAGCTACGACAACTCGTCTCACTATCTGTAAGTTTGGTTGCCTATCTTCCCCGCCCCAACTAGACTGTAAGCTCCTAGAGGGAAGTGGCCATGTCTTATTCATCTTTGTAGCCCCAAAAGCCTGACCAATAACAGGCATTCAATACATGCTTGCTGAAAGAAAGAATGAATGAATGGCTGTAGAAGAGCTGAGTGACACTAGAATGAGTTGCCCCAGGAGGCTGTGTGTTCCCAGTCGGGACTATGTTGAATCATGGGCTGGAAGATCGGTTGGAAAGCGTACTATCCTTTGGCTCTGAGCCACAGATGAAAGATGGAAAGGAATGAAGATCATTCCAGCCCAGAGATGTTGTGGTGGTCTTAATTACAGCCACTGGCAACAAACTGCACAGGAAATGTATGGTCACCAGAGGACTCCAAAGAGAAGGTACACAAAGGACCTTGGGTTTCTGACCAGTGTTTTATTTTGTGGAAAACAATAATTATATTTTGCTTCTCCAAAATTTAGAGAATTAGAAGGTGAGGGAATGTCTGAAGATGAGGGTCATGGTGGTAAGTGGCTACCAGTTAGCCCAAGATAGAAGAATATAATAAGAGTGGGATTTGAAACCAATTGGCAAAAGGTGCCTAGATAACTCCTGTCTAACCTGGAAAGTTAAGTGACCTCATCATTCCAGATCTAGAGACCAACATCCATTTTCACACTGTAAGTCACATCAACAGCTACAACGAAACAGGAAAAAGGAAATGTTCAGAGCCATCTACCTACACAGAACTCAATTCCATTCCATAATCATGGACTGACACATTATATATGTAAGCTCCAGCATTAGAAGTATGGGAGCTGGGAATTCCCTGGGTGGTCCAGTGGTTAGGGCTCCTCGCTCTCACAGCTGAGGGCCCAGGTTCAATCCCTGGTTTGGGAACGAAGATCCCACAAACCACGCGGCCAGTGGGGAAAATAAAAGGTAGTAGTATCGGGGCTTCCCTGGTGGCGCAGTGGTTGAGAGTCCGCCCGCAGATGCAGGGGACACAGGTTCATGCCCCGGTCCGGGAAGATCCCACATACCGCGGAGCGGTCTCCTACAAGTATATCCACATTTCTACAGAGTTCTAATTAGAGTACCCATACCATCTAAATTTTTTCACTTATTAGATCATAAACCATTTCCATTTTGCAGACTAATCTTTATATTTATCTTTTTATGCAACATCTTAATATTTAGTTATAAAGATATGTTATAATTTATTTTATTTCAATGGTGGACACAGGTTATTTCTAATTTTATCTGTTGTAATTACTGAATGTATGATGTTCTAGACGGGCTTTAGTTCAGATATTTTGTTTAATTCTGTCTAGAAATATGTACTCTCATATTTGTCAAAAACGTGCTCTGGGGCTTCCCTGGTGGCGCGGTGGTTGAGAGTCCGCCTGCCGATGCACGGGATGCGGGTTCGTACCCCGGTCCGGGAGGATCCCACACGCTGCGGAGCGGCCGGGCCCGTGAGCCATGGCCGCTGAGCCTGCGTGTCCGGAGCCTGTGCTCCGCAACGGGAGAGGCCACAGCAGTGAGAGGCCCGCGTACCGCAAAAAAAAAAAAAACGTGCTCTGAATTTGATTCTCAACACCTATCAAGAGCCATGAAAATGTGTGTTGTGTGTGTGTGCACCAACAGTTTTACTCTGGGAAACTGACTTAAGGAAATAGTTCAAACAAACAAAAGATGTCTGAGTAATACAATATTATACTGTTTCTTCATACTTTATTTAAATCCTGGGAATGGTAGCATAACTTTATTTTTGTAACTAATGCTTTACTTTTTTTTTTCTTTTTGCATTTCTATAACCAAATAATTGACATGGAGTTCATCTGGGGTATAAGTTGTAGATCTAAATCAGTTTTCTTTATATTGCACTACAATCATCCCTATTTATTAAATAACATTCACTTTCTTGAAGGAAAAAAAAAGACAGGGTGTGGTCGATGCTTTTAACGTGAAGTGGAGCACATTAAACACATGGAGAAGCCAAAAGGAAAGCTCACTGCCAGCAGAGGGCACCGTGTGGGACAAAGAGAATATGATGGAAGGTATGGAACCATTTTACATGCAATTTCAAGGGTTTACAGACTCCTTTAAGCTCAATTCTGAGTCTTCTCTAGGGCTCACGGCCCTGAGAATAAAATGCCCAGATCTAATCCACCTTGCCTGCCTTGTTTTACTGATGGGGAAACAAAAATTCAGGAGAGGGAAAGCGAGCAGCTTAGGGTCACTCCCAGGCAGGTCTCTCAATTCCTAGTCTCAGTGTTTTTTTCCTTTACTTTAGTTCTACTTCCCTTTCTCACAAAGATGATAACCTCAGAACACGACCTCAAGCACAGACCTGAAGATCAAGGGGGTGAGATTCATCTGCCAGAAAGCCCCTCCCCTCCGTATGCATAGAAAACTTAGCTTGAGGCAGTCCCCGCCCCCCTCAGTCCTGTCCACTCCCAAACCCCCTGACCTCCTGACATAACCTTCTGGGTCTCTCCCTGACTCAAGGGCATTCAGTGTGACCCCACTGCCTAAAAAACAAACTGCCAGGTCTCAGCATTAAAGATCGTCCATGATACGGCCCCAATATGCCTTTCAAGACTTGTTTTCCATAATCCTCCCCACACACTCTCTCCTCTAACCCAATGGAACGAACACCAGACTCCCTACCTCTTCACTTCTGCTCATACTAGTCCTTGAGTATATGGCATGCCTTCCCCTTCCACCCACATCCTGCACAACCCAGCTGAGATCTGTAGTAACCAGGCTCCATCTTGGATCCCGACCTGTTGTTCCGCATGCCATCCTCTTTCCCTGCAAAGCGCATGAATGAGATCTCTCTTCTTACCCTCATCCTAGTCATTCTATTCCCTGCCTTAGGTACTACATCTTTCTGTTCACTTAAAAAAATTCACATGTGGAAATTCAGAGGCCCTCTGAAACTGCCTATTTTCCCTGGTTCTAATAAACCAACAAACAACAACAACAAAAACAAGCCCTAAGAAGCCAAGTAGAATGTGTTTTACTATCCAAACAGTTTGGTCCAACTTCAGGGAGGAGGCCTGCCAACACTGCTAGAAGTAAAGCTTTGTGGTTGGCCAAATGCTCTGCAAGAAACCTGAGAAGCAGTAATCTCATCTACAATGTCCTGGGGTTGGCACTCTGTATTTACCAAAATTCTATTTACAGGCCCTTCACCAGCCTCAGAGCTAAAAGGATGTAACCCTTCCACCTCTCTCTTCTTCAGAATCCTCTTTAAGGCCTGTGTTGGCTTCCCCCCGGCACCCCCGTGAATGAACTTTTGGTCCACTGAGCTAGAAGGTTCACAGAGATCAAGGTATCTGGTCAGTCCCCACAGCTTGGCAAAGAGGACAAGGAAGCCCAGAAAGAAGGCACTTGCCCAGGTTCAGAACCTGTAACTTGGTTCCAGTTCGGGTGCTAACTACTACTGTGTACTAAGAAATCCTTTTATTTCTCCTAAAGCTGGTCTGCTAACAGAGCCCAATCCAAGGCTGCGGGGTGTGTTTGGGGAAGGAACTCACGAGAACCTTGGTGGTTTTCTCAGTCCGGTCTTTAGCAAGGTTAAAACCACAGCTGGGACAAATCCGCGGTTTATGCCGATTGGTGTAGACATAGCTACAAGAGGGATTCTTGCACTTTCCCCGACCTCTTGATGTAGCCAGGCCCAAATCCTAAAAAAGTAAGACTGCAGTTCAATTCTACAAGTCAACTTACACCTGGGCAGAGCCGAGAATCAGGATGACCTGCTGTGGGTAAAACAGAGAGGGCAATCACAAAACCAGATTTAGACGAACTCTCCAAGAGCCTTGAAGCAACAAGACACTTTTTCTGCAGCTATCCCCTTTCAGTCTTAATACAGCCTAAATAATTGTGGCAAGTCCTTCCCTATCTGTGAAACAAGTGAGTTGAATCTCAAAGGTCAGAAATTCAACTGCCTTCAGGGTCCAGGCAATCAGCAGAGTGAAACAGGCCTGTTCTAACAGAGTGCCAGAGACTGTGGTGAACCGAAGATTTCAAGCTCCAATAAAGATAAATTGTGACTTCTGGACTATTTAAGCTCAAACCTCTGGCACCTAGACTCCTACAACAAGCTACAGTCTAATTAGCCGAAGAGAAGGTCCTGGGCAGTTCCTACCAGATGGTATCCCTAGTGGCCTCTCATAGCCAAACGGAAGAGGTAGTGAAGGGATGGATGGCATGGAGAAGGTAGTAATTAGGTCTTTAGAAGAAGAAGCCTGAGCAGCTCTCTAGGATAAGACAGACACTCTCCCCAAGGATCAGGCCAGATGAGGCACTGACCCACCATACTATGCGCTGCCTTGTTGCTACTGAATCCTAGCACAGGGCATGGCACAGAGCAGGTGCTCAATAAAGTTTCTGAATTTTTAAAAATCTAGCTCCTTTCTCAAGATCTGTGTATCTTACTCATCCAGGGAAACTGCCAAATGATACCTGGCTGATTGGTACCTTAAGGATCAACAAAATTAGAGAACGCTGAGCAAGAGAAGCCCTAACATGCTTTCTAAGCCAACAGAGTATTTTACAGACAGTGAAAACTGAGGACCAGAGAAGGAAAGAGCCTTGCTCAAGGTTAGATGCCATGCTAGCAGCAGAGCCACAACCACTTTTGGACTAGGTCTTTCGACACCCAGTGTTTATTCCACTGCTCTAGGCTGCTTACCCTGCAAAAGGACGACCCCAGAGTCACACATTCATTTATTGGGATGTTAACGTGTTATGTTAAAAATAAAAGTCGGGGAGAGAAAACCTTGGTGAGAAACACCAGGCTAAACAAAAGTTGCTTCACTAAAGCACTTCTCAAACCCTTTCAGATACTAGTACTGAATGTGACTCTGTTTTAGGGAGGAAAAAAAATACATTTCTCAAACTTATATGTAGACCACACTTTTGAGGCTAAAAGGTCCAAAGACTGCTGAATGTTGAAGCTAGACTGGATTCTCATCTCCAGCTACTCTCAAAAGAAATATCCTGGTCTCAGCTGGCCTACACTTCATGGATCTCATCTGGGAAAAAGAGCAAACCTAGATGATTCACCCAGTAGCTATCATCTGTACCAATGACAGGATCTTCAGAATCTATGATCTAGGCCTCACCCTACTCTCACTCCCAAGTACCACTCCCCACCCACCTCAGACTCCTACTCACCCTCAACCACACAATCAAACCACCTCTATGTCAACCCATCACCTGTCTGCACTTACCAGTGTGACGGTGCAGCTATACTTATATGGAGGAAACATATCAGGCTTGACCTCTACAACTTTCACCTGAGATGTCCTGTTGGCTGGGCCATTTGGTAGCTGTAGATCAAAACAAATTATTTTAGTGCTTCTGAACCTCAGTCAAACTCCTGAGGTCCTGTGTCCTGAAACAGGTTGAGGAAACAGTTGCCCAGGCATTTGTAGAGCTATGTTCCAAATGAGCCCTCTGGAATGCTAGTCAGCAGTCACCAGCCCACCAAAGGTTGAGTGTCACTTTCAACTCCAGGGGTTCCCACACTCTTTTGCACAGCTTCTAACACTGCATACCAGAAACACTATGAGTCTGATTTACAACTACTATCAAGTGAGAAAAGCATGTAATAGCTCCGTACACAACTATGTGGTTGAATTATGCTGACATAAAGAAGTCTGGGGAATTCCCTGGTGGTCCAGTGGTTAGGATGCCACGCTTCCACTGCTGGGGGTCTGGGTTCAATCCCTGGCCAGGGAACTAAGATCCTGCAACCTGCATGGCACAGTCAAAAAAAAAAACGCAAGAAGTCTGAAAGATTATTCACTAAAATGTCACAGGTTGAGGGAAAGATCATGGTTGTTTTCCATTTTACCACTATCTATAAAAATTTTCAAATGTTCTATATGGAATGTAAAAAAGAAAAGATGAAGAAAGCATTCTAAATTAAAAATAATTATTCTGTAATAATGAATTTAAGTTAATCTTCAGAACATAAGATTTCATGTAACTTAACTGGTTTAAGACTAGTAAAGGGGTTTATGGCTTTTTAACAAATATCCAATTTGCCAATTAAAAGGAAACTACACAGAAGACTGGGAATTTACACGCATGAAGGGAATCTAAGGGCTGGAAATCTAGGAAGCAGCTGAAGCAGACTCGATTACCGTCCTTCTATTCCCCAAGATCACACGTGCACCCAGTGGTGACACCACATTTGGGTGAAAACAGATCAACCTTCAAAATAGAAGCTGGCCGATAGCCTTGTTGGGGCAAACTTAGAACTATCAAACAAAAGCAGTTACCTGACAGAGAGCACACGGCAAGGGAGATGGCAGACTTGATATTCCTATTCCAATGTGGTCCATGTCAGGGTTTTCAATTTCAAACTGAGGGATTGTGAAATTAACTTAATGGGCTGAAACCAGCATTTTGGAAAAAGAAATGGAAAAATGACTGCATAAAATAAGGGCATAGCTTCATTAAACTTTTAATGTGTATATATATGTATATATTTACAGGGCTGTGATGTAGAAATGTGTTTGTTACTGACGGTCATGCTCTCAAAAGTGCTGATTTAGGGATCTTTGATCATATTCAAGTCACAAATGGCAAAAGAACTAAAAAAAAAAAAATCTAATAATAAATATACTTGAACACATGCACTTTTGACACCTGAGAAATCTTTAATAGCTCTATCATTAAATGGAATGAACTGTACTGGTTACAAACCAGTACATGGAGAAAGAGCCATGCTTTTAGGTTTAAAAAATTACATTTAAAAGATAAACACAGACTAATGCAGGAAAGAACTTGGCTGAATGAGCGCACACCAGACCATCAGTAACAGTTATTTCTGGGTGGCAGGATCAGAAGAGACTTATTTTCTTTCTGCCTTACCTGAATTTTCTTTATTTTCTATAACAACCATGCATTCATTTTTTCTAAAAAGACATGACAACTAAATGCAGCATATAATCCTAGATCGGATCCTGTTCTAACGTAGAAAATGCTATAAAGGACACAACTGGATAAAACCGACGAAACTGGAATACAAATGATAAAGTATCAATGTTTCAGTAACAGAATATCTCTAGTCTTAGGAAATACACACTGAAGCATTAAAGAGTAAAAGGCCATGTTACCTTTCAATTATGTGTATTTTAAACATACATACATACATACACACACACACACACACACAATGGGGAAGACAAATGAGCACAAATCATAATGCAAAATGGGCTAATATGTTAACAATAGGTAACTAGGTAAAGAGTACATGGGTGCTCTTTGTACTACTTTTACTCTTGCAACTTTTCTTGTTTTAATTATTTCTAAATAAAAATTTTAAAACATGCATTCATTTTTATAACCAGAAAAAGAAACTAATTAAAAAACAGATAACTCATTCATGCTAACCCTCCTCCCACAGTTCTACCAGTGTTAAGAATAGGCTTTTTGCCTATGGCTTTGAGACACTCAATGGAAGCCCTGTTCTCGGAGCTGCCAGCCACCCCCCCAACAGATGGCTCCCCCTCTGGGGAAAGGGTCTTACCTTCACCTCACCAGTGCTAGATGGCTGTTGGATGGGCTGGCCCAGCTGCTTCAGCGTGCTTGGCTTCAGGCCACAAGTCCTCACAGAGGGTGTCTTATCTGAAACAACCAGGAGCCAGACTGGTGACTTAAGTGCATTCAGAGTCTCCCTAAGTCTCTCATCTCCATGCTCAACCCCCACTCCTGTCCCCTTCCCTTTAGAGAGTCCCTCCTCCCGAATCTGTCCCAGACCTTACCACTCAGGGGAAAGGCCTGCCTGGCCCTGGGCAGTCCCATGCTGCTGCCTCGACCCACGTTAGCTGGGGCTGGAAGAATTGCTCTCATGGGTCTTGCTGCAGCCAGTAACGAGGGCTTGCCCCGTGCTCTGCCTTTAAGCTCTGGGGCTCTGGGCACAGGAATAAGCAGGTCAACTCTGAAAAAGAACAAGAAGGGAGCTCTCCTAGAAATTCCAGACCAGGGGGAAGAAAACCGAAGTGCAATCTTCAGATAGCACTTTATTAGAATAATGTCCTGGTTAAACTGTCAGGCTTTAGACATTAATTAAACCATTAAATAGCTGTGTAACCCTGGGCAAGAAATCTTACTCTTCTGTTTACCTCGTTTGTAGTATGCAATTACATGTACTTCATGGGGTCATTATGAAGATAAAAAAGTGCAAAACAGTGCCTACAGTGAGGGATATCAATAGCTACTGTAGTTATAACATCTAGTCTCCCTCTAATCAGCCCAAGTATTTAAAGTGCATCAGTCTCCCACATGAGGGCAGCTGAGAGACCCTGGGGAACAAGGTTCATGTTTTCTTCATCTTTGTAGCTCCAGTGCTGAGCATAAAGCCTGCCCACAGAAGGCCTCAATACACATTTGCTAAAGTGCTTCACCTGCCCCAAAGTTCTCTAAGGACACGGAACCATCTCAAAGTATACTGTTAAATTTTAAAAGACAAGATGTCAAAGTATGTATGTTATGCTACCATTTGTGTGAAGAAAGGTGGGGGGGGAAAATATATATAACACACACACGCACACACACAGCTGACCTTGAACAGCATGTATTAGGGGCACTGACCCCCACGGAGTCAAAAGTCCACTGATAACTTCACAGCCCTCCATATCCAGGGTTCCACATCTGGCAGATTCAACCAACTGCACACCATGTAGTACTGTAGTACATACATACTGAAAAAAATCCACGTGTAAGTGGACCCACGCAGTTCAAGTCCATGTCTATTCAAGAGTCAACTATGTACGTGTATATATATATATATGTGTGTGTGTACACACATGTATTTTTTCCCTACCTTTCTTTACACAAATGGTAGCGTGACATACATACTTCGACATCTTGACTTCTAAAATTTAACGATATTAATTATAAACACAAATACCTCCTATTTGTTTGCATATACTTAAAATTATCTCCAAAAACACAGAAAGTTGGGAATATTGTCTCTGGGAAATGGGAATGGAGCACCCAAGGATGGGACAGAAAGGAGATTTGTTTCAGTATATATTCCTTACACTTTTTCAGTCTGAACTATGTGAATATATTTTCTATTCAACAATAAAAGTTTTTTACTCGTAATAATATAAACCAGAACTTCTAAACCTTGGCACTACTAACATTTTGGGCCAAATAATTCTCTGTTGCAAGAGGCTGTCCTGTGCATTGTAGGATGTTTAGCAGCATCCTTGGCCTCTACCCACTTGATGACAGTAGCACTCCCTCCCCAGTGGTATCAACCAAACATGTCTCCAAACATTGCCACAATGTCCCCTGGGGCACTGCTCCCCTTTGAGAACCAATGATATAAACAAAAAAGAGCCTTCCATTTTAAGACCATAGCTGCCTCTGTAAAGGAGCTACATACATGGAGAATTCAGTCAAGCCTCTAAGGTGAGAAAGCCTTCAAGGAAGGGAGGAAAAACAGCCCACACTTACGGACCTCTCCTATCTGCAAGGCACTGGGCTGCAAGCTTTACACACAACCTTTTTCAGGCTGTGTGGTCAGCCATTGAGGATACGATTCTCTTTTATAACACCCAACTCAAGATTTTTCAGAGGGGAAAATGGGTATGAAGTGACTATGCCCACGGTCAAACAGAAGCCCTGGACAGAGTCACAACCAGAATTTAGTTCTCTGACCACCAGGACAGGAATCATTATTATATAAAGATGCCCTAAAAAGGCTTCTCTTTTCAAATGCAGTATCCAGAATTGGATACTAGGTTTGTAACATTGCCCACAGCCTGTACCAACAAGACTCTGTAATAACTGCTTTAGGGAGACTGACAAGAAGAGATGTATAAGGAACGGGACAGCAGTGAATAGACAGCAGAGTGTAGGAGGACAGGCAAATAAATGTCTCTAGGCCTCAGCTTCTGTATCTCTAAAATACAAACGACGAATTGGGCTCTGCTATCTCTCTCAGGAATGCTGTAAGGACATGGGACAAAATAAACACAGGGCACTACACAAGCTGCTGTTCTAAACACAATGCTGTAATATATAAACACATTGGGGGACTTCCCTGGCGGTCCAGTGGTTAAGAATCTGTCTTGCAATGCAATGCAGGGGACGCCGGTTCGATCCCTGGTCAGGGAACTAAGATTCCCACATGCCGCGGGGCAACTAAGCTCACGCACCACAACTACAGAGCCTGCATGCCACAACTGCAGAGCCCACGTGCTCTGGAGCCTGCGCACCACAACTAGAGAGCTCGCATGCTGCAACTACTGAGCCTGCACGCTCTGGAGCTCACGCGCCACAACTAGAAAGAAGCCAGCGCACAGCAACGAAGAGCCCACACGCCGCAACAAAAGATCCCAATGTGCCGCAACTAAGATCTGATGCAGCCAAAAAAAATAATAAATAAATAAACATATAAATATTTTTAAAAATAGGGGGAAAAAAATAAACACATTGGGTTACCCTGTAGGCTTTTTAGGAGCAGGGAGTGAATTGGAGGTGCTGGTCCCCTCAGCTGGTGGTGGCACGTCTAGTCCAGGACTGTCATTCTCAGTTGTCCCCAGAGAGACCTCACGCTGCACACCACTCTTGACCACTGGCTTCTTAATGACTGCTGTACCACGATTCCCAGGAGTTTCCTTGACCAAAACATGGGCATCTGAGATGATCACTTCCTCCCACTCATTCTCCTCACCCACGTCTCTTTGAGGAGCTATACTTAGGAGCTGGCTTACAGCTTCTGAGTTCTCCAGAGTCAGGTTGGAAGAGTTTTCCTTAGCAGAATTTTGCTCGGAGGTGAGAGGCTGCTGATTTCTTTTAACCACAGAGCCTTTGGAGGAGACTCCAGAAGTCAATTCCACTTTGACTTTGGCTGGCTTTTCCTAGAAAAAAAAAGAAAACCTTTCATGCATATAACATTTTACAGTTGACAACACATTTACAAATATTCTCTCATTTGACCCTTGTAACAATAATGTATGGGCAACATATAAGAAGCTGAGGCTGAGAAAGGAAGAGGCTGACTTCAGGTCCCAAGTATAAAACTGGCCTGAACCTAAGTCTTCTGATTCCAGTTCCCTTTCACCACTGTATTCAATGTCCGAGTTAGGATAAGCCTATTCTAATAAATTTCTTAACGACATGTTTCTTCAGATTTCAGCGAACAAATGCTGACATTGTTTTACCTCGACCTTTGATTGTTCAAGGCCCTCTCCTTTATGTCTACAAAGAGGCTGACATACTGCCACATTGGGCCTAGAAGTATTAAGTTGTTTATCTTGGTGGTCCCTTTATGAGACTCACTTAATCACAATGTGGTCACAATGTCGCAAAGACTGAATGCTTCCAACTCCACTGGGGAAAACTCTCATCTTTTTCCCAGATTCTTTCAGGTTGAGTCCTAAAAGTCAGCGTAAGGCTGATTTACACATACACCACAAACTTCTCACTGGGTCAAATCAGATCACACACATTAATTACATGCTAGAAAAGGTTCCGACTCACTAAAAATACCCGCTGCTGTTATCTCAGACAGACCTGAGGTTTACATACATACATGTACACAAGGACACTTAAAAAAATTTAACAGTGGACTTCCCTGGTGGTGCAGTGGTTAGGAATCCGCCTGCCAATACAGGGGACACGGGTTCAATCCCTGGTCTGGGAAGATCCCACGTGCCATGGAGCAACTAAGCCCGAGGGCCACAACTACTAAGCTTGCACGCTAGAGCCCGCAGGCTCTAGGGCCCCCATGCCACAACTACTGAGCCCACATGCTGCAACTACTGAAGCCCGCGTGCCTAGAGCCCGTACTCCACAACAAGAGAAGCCACCGCAATAAGAAGCCCGCGCACTGCAACGAAGAGTAGCCCCCGCTCGCCGCAACTAGAGAAAGACTGCACGCAGCAACGAAGACCCAACACGGCCAAAAAAAAAAAAAAAAATTAACAGTGGTCATCTCTGTGGTAGGTCTCAAAGGTTTTTTCCTTCCACGTGAATAGCGAAAGGCACTATAAACGAGGAGACAAAACACAAAAGCTGCACTCTGTCTAGGCTCTGCTTCAACCTAATTGCTTATGTCACCTAAGGCAAGCTTCATCTGATTCCTCATTTCCCATTATGGAATAAGAGAGCTCTGTGTTTGTCAACAGCAGCAAGATAGCCTTTTGGGTGGCCCAGCTCTTCATTGTGGAGGGGCAGGATACCCTGCACTTCACAGGAAATTCAGCATCTGTGCCCAATGCCATTAAATTTCAGTATTATCTCCCAGTCACTGACTATCAAAAACCCCTTACATTTCAAAAGTCCCTCTGGGCAACACGGTGCCTCTGGTTAAGAATCAATATAGACGACCTTAAGAAATCTCCAGTAAAGCATTCTCAGATTCTAACACACAATTACAAACCATGAGGACAAGAAAAATTCCAAGTAAACTGTACTGAGCTTACTGAATGCTAAAGAAGGAAGAGTCAGCAGAAAAACAGGAGACAAGATAAACTAAACCCCTGAGATGAGATCTTTGAGCAGAACACTGCCCACTAAGTAGGCTATAGACAAAAATTCTTTGCAGGAAGACTGGATATTTAAGCAATCAGAGCAAAAAACTCTAGTTGGTGATCTCACATTTCCTTAACTCAGCCTGCCCTTTTTAGATGTCACTTTCTTTCAAGATGGAAGGCAAATACTACCAGTTCCTCGATCAGAGACCTCAATTACTGCTATCAGAGAGCCCACAGTAATGAGGCCTTGAGCTATATACCATACCTTGAGCCTTATATACCATCTTTTGTTCCATCCAACTCACTGGGAACTGTGCCACATGCTCCTTGGGCTAATTTTAGCCAGTATGAACTCCAGAACAATATAAGAAAAGGTGAGTCATTTCCTAACTGGCATGGACACATCTGGAGCTTTTAGAAACTATTTATAATTGCTCTTTCAAAAATCAGAACTCAGGAAATCTTAAGATTCTGCAGGTAAACAGCACAGCAATGCCTGAGAAGTATGGTTTAGTGGAAAAGGCGACAGCATAACTAGCAATGTGAATGTAACCAGTCACTTCTCCTGAATCTCTTTTTCCTTAGCTGGAAATTTGGGAGTTGAGCTAGCTGATAACCAACGTCACCTTTATCTCTAAAATTTTAAGTGCACTGATGCTACATTGTTACCTTTTTTCTTCTCACACTCAGGTATTCTGTTCCTATGAGATTTAGAAATCACAGTATCTACTCTTTACGTGGTAGTTCTTGCAAAAACCTTTGGGAAAAATATTCTGACTTAGCAAGTAAAGACAGGACAAGTAGCTAAGAAAAAAACTGTTTTCATGTCATGAGTTTGATCTCAAAAAGAGAATGGCTCAAAAGTTATTCAATCAAAGGGGGGAAAAAAGACAAAATGAAAAAGGAAAGAAAACCAAAGTAAAAACAGAATCTGAAGCAGACTAGGCACAGGATCGGTTACACTCTTTCATGCAAAAGCACAGGAAATAAGGTCATTTGACAGACCTGCTGTGCATCAATGAAGAAGGACCAAGCAGGAGTCCAACAACTATCCAATTCAATCTTCCTACCGCAGCTGGGGAAGTACATTTTGGGAGAATAATTAGGGTGGGAATAAATGAAATGGCTTCACAGTGCACACTAAAAACTCCACAAGGCCCTAGGTACTTCCTGCCCCTTGAAATGTTAATTGTCTCTACTGTTGCTGTTAATATTAATTATATTGCTGCCAACAATGGAAGCAGTGAAGCCCTACTGAGGATTAAATATTCAATACACTAGGAATGTGCCATCCACTTTGCATGGATCATTTCATCTGACCCCTCCAATAACCCTAATGAGGTAGGCACTATTGTTAACTTCCATTTACAAATGAAAGGAAGCCTAAATCAAGAACAGAGACATAAAATGACTTGCCCAGGGTGACAAAGCTAAATACTTGGGAAGTAGGGTTTGAACTGAGGAAGCTGACTCCAGAACTGTATTCTTAATTATTAACCTATTCTGCCTCCGAAACTGGTGCTATCCTGAACTCCAACACTCAGCCAGAGGACAAAAGTCACCATCCAGTAATTTTCTGAGAGTTATTCTGTGGAAACCGCCCAAAGGGACTTAAGTATGCTGCTATTTAAGTTTTCTCTACAGAAATGAGTTTGGACCATGAGTCAAACACATGACGAACACAATCCTAATCTAAGCTATTTTCACGAAAACAATGCCTTCTTTCCTCTTCTATCTACCCAAATTCTACTGATGTTTCCAAACCATCTTCTCTATAAAACCACCTATTCTAGTCCTTTTGTCCCTAAATAATTTATATCAAAAATGTGGCAAGTATGTATGATTCATGTAGTCAGCATACAACAGGTTAACGAACATGTGCTGAACTGAACGTCACAGGGGCTCAGCTCTAACGCTCATTTATTTACTGAGCACCATTTATTTGGAGACAGAGGTATACATCTGGAACATTATGCTATGGGAGACCTGAATATCGGGTTAAAGACCTCCACTTTTAATAGGAACTATATGAAACTAAAAGGACTCTGAGCTAGGGAATGAGATGTGCGCTGTGCGTGTGAATAGCTAAGCAGTCAGCGTGGAGGGTGGATTGTTAAAAATGTAACCCTAACAAGAAATGAATGATTTAACATGGTGTAGTCATTCATGGAAAACTATGAAGCAATTAAAGATAATGTTTTTGAAGAATATTTAATGGCATGATATGTTAAAGGAAAAAAAGGCAAGATACAGAACTTGTATATCCACAGAAAAAGACTGGAAGAAAATATACTGAAATCTTAACAATAGCTTTTCTTTGGATGGTATGAGATTACGGATAACATTTTATTCTTTCTTCTTAAAAAGAAAGAAACTGACTTATCTGTGTCGTCAGAAAATTAAATGAATATTAATTTAAGTCATCTGTTCTTAAAGGGAATAATAAGCCTACTTTGTGCGGTTTCCAAAGCAGTGATGGCCAATGAACTTTACCTTTGGGATCCACTTCCCTCCTAGGAAGTTACCACAGGTAGGGCACTTAGGTGGTTTGTGCCTCGTGACATATGTGAAGGAGCAGCCTGGGCTGGTGCATGTCCCATGGCCCCGTCGGGTGTACGTAGTAGTCTGTGTTTAAAAAACAAAAAGAAAAGAGCAAGTCAGAATCAACACCACAGTCTAATCTCTGTCAGATCCTGATGACCATTATAACCACAACAATGCCAGGAGGATACCAGCTTGCAGAAGGCCAATTCATGGTATCTTAAAAGGTCAGAGTTGGAAAGGTCCTAAGATACAACTAACTAGTTCAGTTTTTAGAAATGGAGAAAGTGAATTCAAATGAAGAAAGACAGCTGCCCAAGGTTACAGAGTTAGGTACCAGAAGTATAAAGGTAAGAAGAGTTGCAATTAATTAAGCAAAGTACCACACAGTGCTAAACACTCTACCAATATCTCATTTAATGTTCTCAGCAATGCTATGAAGTATTATTACTACTGAGGTTCAGAGTAGTTAAATGCTTTGCCTCAAATCATGTAGTGACTCAAGGACTTGACTCAGTGACTCAAGCTAGACCCAGAAGACAGATCTTATTGATTCCTGGTCAAGATTACTTCCATGCATCCTGCTGCACCCTCTGGCTCTCAATACTTCAAAGAATTTGCTTCTTCATTCTTGTTAGTTAAAAATCAGAGAACCTAGGACCTAGGGTTCAAAGATATAAAAAAACAGTCCAGTCGCTAAAATAATGAGAGGGAACTCCAGTTGAAACCAGGTCCTCTGACACGCCACAGAATTTGATCATCCGCATACAAATATATTCTGCCACCGGCTTGCACCATCTCCGATGATTTCCCTTTGAACAGAACGTATTACATTTCAGCTACAAATAGAAATTAGCCACACTCCATTTCTTGATTAATGCTGGAAAGAAAACACTTCCCTATCAGATTTGTTCTGTCACTTACGGTTTACTCAGCTACTAATCCCAACCCCCCTAGCCTGGCCAGAAAGCAAAAACTTCCCTTGGGAAACACCAAGCTGCCTCTAGGCTACCTCTGGCCGGAACACCAAAAGGTGATTATGACAGTGACAGCAGGTCAAAGATGAGTGTGAAGTTGTGTGGCACCAAGGAAAGAGACCAGGGTTTGGGTTCCAATTTTGTCACTGACATACTGAATGAGCTGGGGGTAAGTCATCTTAGCTCTTGGGCCCTTGGTTTCCTCTTCTGTAAAATCACCTGCCCTTTCTGCTTAATGGATATATCCTGAGGAGCAAAAAGTTTGTGAGACTATTATTAATGGGTAAAACATTATATCTTATCTTTTCTCAGACTGTGGCCCCACATGGAATATTCATTCTGAATACACCCTCAGAGCAAAGTTAGTGCTATAAATAAATTACCATGAATTTGGAAATACTCCTGAACAGCAACTTATAGAAATGACTTTAGGAAATAATGCTAGTGTTCAAGGCTGATGCTGCCTTCTTAAGTATTTCTAGAAGAGCTTGGCTGACACTTATTAAACCATGAAAGAATATAAATTTCCAGAACAGGAAAGGCTCAGGAAAAATAATTAGTTTATTACAACTTTCTTATCGAAGAAAGTATTGTTTATCCACAGCAGGGGTTTTAGAAGATAAGACAGATTGTGACAAGTTAAAGCTATGTACTATTAATCCTAAAAGAAACCAATACAATAACCAAGACAAAGTTAATAGCTCATAGGCCAACAAAGGAGATAGAATGGATTCATAAAATATACTTAATTATTTCAAAAGAAAGTACAACAAAACAGATAGGACCAAAACAATAACAACAAATAGTAAGAGGACTGATTTAAACCAAACCACATTACTAATCACATTAAACACATACAGCCTAAATACTATAATTAAAAGGCAGAGATCATCAGATAGGTCTTGCTCTTAGAGCCAAACTATACGCTGCCTACCAAAAAAGGTACAGTAGAAATACAAAGGTACAAACAGGTCAAAGGATGGAAAAAGATATACCTTGTTAATAACAATAATCAAAAGAAAGGTTGATATCAGAACTAAGTAGATTTCATAGGCAAGAATACTGCCAGAGATAAAGGTCATTTCATAATGAAGAAGCATTCAGTTTATCCAGAGGACGTAACAATCCTAAATGTTTGTGTACTTAATAACAGTCAAAATACATGACACAAAACCTAATAGAACTGCAAAAAGAAACAGGTAAATCTACAATGACAGATGGATGCTTTCTCTCAATAACTGACAGAAACAGTAGACAGAAAATCAGGAAGGATACAAAATCAATAAGAAACACTATCAATCAACTCAACCTAATCTGAAATGTATAGAACACTCCACCCAACAGCAGGAATACATATTCTTTTCAAGTGCACATAGAACATTTATCAAGACAATCCATATTCTGAGCCATAAAATAAACTGCAATCAATTTAAAAGGATTCAGGCCTTATAAAATACAAAGTTCTAACCACAATGGAATCAAATCAGAAATTGATAAAGACAGACACCTGGAAAATCCCAAACATCTGGAAAATAATTAAGTAACTCATGGGTTAAAGAAGTTAGAAAATACTTTGAACTGAATGAAAATGAAAACTGCACCGTATCAAAATTTGTGGGATGGGCTTCCCTAGTGGCACAGTGATTAAGAATTTGCCTGCCAATGCAGGGGACACAGGTTCAAGCCCTGGTCCGGGAAGATCCCACATGCTGCCGAGCAACTAAGCCCATGAGCCACAACTGCTCAGCCTGCACTCTAGAGTCACAAGCCACAACTACTGAGCCTGTGTGCCACAACTACTGAAACCCACACACCTAGAGTCTGGGCTCCGCAACAAGGGAAGCCACTGCAATGAGAAGTCTGCGCACCACAGTGAAGAGTAGCCCCTGCTCCCTGCAACTACAGAAAGCCCCACGCAGCAAGACCCAATACAATCAAAAATAAATAAATAAAATAAATTTATTAAAAAAAAATTTGGGGGGGATGCCACTAAAGCAGTGCTTAGAGGGAAATGAAGCACTAAGCAGCTATATTACAAGAGAAGCTCTCAAATCAATGACCTCAGCTTCTACCTTAAGAAACTAGAAAAGACCAAATTAAACCCAAAGTAAGCAGAAGAATGATAGAAATGAGTGAAACAGAAAGCAGAAAAACAATAGAGAAAAACAATGAAACCAAAACCTTGTTCTCTGAGAGCAATAAAATCAGTAACCTCTAGCCAAGCTTATCAGGAAAAAAGAAAGAAGACCCAAATTACCAGTATCAGTAATGGAGAAGTAAAATCACTACAAATTCTATAGATATTAAAAGGATAAAAATTCCACAAAACTTTAAACATAGAATTACCACATGATACAGCAATTGTACTCTTGAGGTATATACCCAAAAGAACTGAAAGCAGGGACTCAGACATTTGTACACCAAAGCTCATAGTGGCACTGTTCACAATAGTCAAAAGGTAGAAACACACCAAATGTCCATCAATGTTTATGAATAGATAAAAAAAATATAGTATACACATGCAATAGAATATTATTCAGCCGTAAAAAGGAATGAAATTCTGATACATGCTACAAGATAGATGAACCTGAAAACATTATGCTAAGTGAAAAAGTCAGACCAAAAAGGAAATATTTGCATGATTCCACTTATTTGAGGTACCTAGAACACACAAATACTAAGACAGAAAGTAAAATAGCAATTACCAGGGCTTGGGGTGGAAACAGGTGGGGTGGGGAATGGGGAGTAACTGTTTAATAGATACAGAGTTTCTGTTTGGGAAGATGAAAAAGTTCTGAAAATGGATAATGGTAATGATTGCACAGCATTGTAAATATATTTAACAGCACTTGAATTGTACACTTAAAATTGATTAAAACGGTAAACTTCATGTTATGTATATTTTACCACAGCTTTTAAAAAGAAGAATAAGGGAATGTTTTGAACAATTTTATGTCAATAAATTTGACAATTCAGATGAAATGGACAAATTCCCTGAAAGACAAACTATCAAAGCTCACTCAAAAATAGATAATCTGAGTAGTCCTATATATATTTTAAAAATCGGACTTGCCATTATAAACTTTCCCACAAAGAAATCTCCAGGCCCGGATAAGTTCACTGGTAATTCTAACCAAACATTTAAGGAAGAAATAATGCCAGTACTACACAAAACTCTTCCAAAAACAATTGGAAAAGCAGAAAATATTTCACAACTCATTCCATGAGGTAAGCACTACCTTGATACTAAAACAAGACAAACACTGTACAAGAAAATTAGAGACCAATAATATCCCTCGTGAATATAGATACAGAAATTCTGAACAAAATGTTATCAAATCCAATCCAATAATATATGAAAAGGATAATACATCATTGCCAAGTGGAGTTTATCCCAGGAACACAAAGTTGATTTAACATTTGAAAAATCATATTAATCACATTAACAAACTAAAAAAGGAAAAAAAAACACGAAAAATTTTGACAAAATCCACCATCTCAAAAGACACACAAAAAATTTGAAAAATCCAACATCCATTCCTGATAAAAGCTCCCAGCAAAAATAACTTCCTAAACATAAGGGTATCTCTGAAAAACCTACAGCCAATATTAAACCTAATGATGGAAGACTGAATACTTTCCCCCTAAGACGACGCATAAAACACAGATATCGGCTCTAACCACTTCTATTCAACACTGTACTGGAGAGGTCCTCGACAAAACCATAAGACAAGAAAAAGAAATAAGGAATCCATATCAGAAAAGAAGAAATGAAACTATTAGCAGACAACACTGCCATCTATGTTAAAAATGCAACAGAATCTACGAAAAGGCTAGCAGAATACATGAGTTTATTAGCAAACTTGCAGCACACAAGTTTAATAAGCAAAAAATCAATTGTATTACTATATACTAGCAGTGAACTATTAGAAATTGAAAATAGTTTTAAAATACCATTTACAGGGACTTCCCTAGTGGTCCAGTGGTTAAGAATCCCCCTTACAATGCAGGGAACGTGGGTTTGATCCCTGGTCGGGGAACTAAGATCCCACATGCCGTGGGGCAACTAAGCCTGGGCGCTCTAGAGCCCACTGGCCACAACTAGAGAGCCCACGTACTAGAGAGAAGCCCACGTGCTGCAATGAAAGATCCTGCATGCCGCAACTAAGCCCCAATGCAGCCAAATAGATAAATATTTTTTTAAAAACAAGATACCATTTACAATATCATAAAGAAACATGAGATATTTAGGAATAAATCTCAGCCCACATGCTGCAGTGTGTGATGGAAAAAACATTTGAGAATCAAAAGACCCAAGGGTCCTCGTTCTGCCTTGTTTTGCAGCCCAGTGGCCTTGAATCATAGAGAGAACAAGTCCTTTCTCTTCTCTGGACCTTTTTCCTAACCTGCACAATAACAGGATTGAATTAGATCAGTGATCCCTCAATTTTTCTAAAACACGTGTGCTTCAGAAATTTTATTTTATATATTTTTTTTTTGCAGTACCCGGGCCTCTAACCACTGTGGCCTCTCCCGTTGCGGAGCACAGGCTCTGGACGCACAGGCTCAGCGGCCATGGCTCACGGGCCCAGCCGCTCCGCGGCATGTGGGATCTTCCCAGACCAGGGCACGAACCCGTGTCCCCTGCAACGGCAGGCGGACTCTCATTCACTGCGCCACCAGGGGAGCCCTGCTTCAGAAATCTTGATAAAAGCCATGGAACCTATCCCAGGAAAATACTCTCTCAAGGAGGAAAGTTTGTATGTAACTTGAGGAGTTCATGGAGGTCCATTGAACTGGACCTCCTTGAGGAGGTTCCTGCGGAGGTCCATTCACAGACCCTCCCCCACTCCCTCACCCCCAGTTAAGAATACCTGAACCAGAAAAACCTCTGAGATCTTTGCCAGTCCCAATGTCCTAAGTTTGTTAAGACTTTTAGAAAACTACCTGGAAGAGAATTCTTATGGAGCCTTAATCTCCTTGAACTCCCCACACACTGACCAGTTTGATGGAGGTGGGGTTCTCCACAACCGAGTAGGCAGGAAGAGGCAACATGATGAATTGTGCAGCTGGCGCAGAGGAGCTAATCTCACTGGAATCCTGTAGGTACATGGAGAGAAGAAAGTTTTATTGAGAGGAAGTGAAGAACACCCAGGACCATCCACAACACTGAAGACCAATCAAGTCCAATAACCATAGATAAAGTGCTTATCCAACGGGCACATCAAAAAAATGAATGAATCTATAATTATCTCAAAATAAAAGTTTAATTAAGAACAAACAGAGACAGAGAAAACCAGTACCACAAGGAATGTGCTATCCTCATTTTACAGATGAGAAAACTGAGGTTCTGAAGAGACTCAGAACTCCTAGATCACATAAGCAGTTAGTGAAAGAACCCAATTCTTCTGACCCTGTCAAATGTTCTTAGCGACCTATTAATCTGCCTTAACCAGTGGCATCCTTCATCATCATAAACAGCACTGCGGCAACAAGTAATAAAACAGATTTACCCCTGGCACAGAATCCTCTGCAGGGCTATCTGCTCTCATCCGTCTAGGCCATAGGGGCCGCCGCATGCTGGTCCTCTTAGCCTAAGCAGAACAACTACCTCTTTGAGGATGCCATCGCACCCGGAGTAATAGCATGGTGGCAGCTCCCCAACTCTCCACTTCCAGGGGACCAGGCTGTGGAATCACAGAAATCACTGTTCTTTCTCCTCAACTGGGCATGACAGAAAAGCCACTGGGGAGATACCTCCCTCTTCTTTCTCAGTATTAGTCCCATCAACCTGGCCCTGAAGAGAACTTCCTTCTTCCTACTTACTCTGTGCCCAGCAAGATTATTTTAAAAAATTCTCCTGAACAGTTCAAGGTGCCATTGTGTTTGCTGAAACAATCTTAAGGGAACATAAAATTCTAACTAATACTAATAGCCAAACAGATCCTGGCTCTGACTCATGGACAGCCCAAATATCATCCCCATCCCTCCTGTTAATATACCTTATCTCATGTGAAGAAAATGTTGGCTATACTGGGCAAGAGGAGTTGGTGAGAGTGCCTAAGAAACTGAAGCCTGGGGACTTGGACCAAGCCTGGGGACAAAAAGGTTCAAGAGAACTGCAGTCCAACTAGAAGTGCCACACCAGTATTCTTACTTACCACTATTTCAGAATCACACTGCATGGTGCTAGCCGCCTTTTTAACAATCCCAGGTAAAGCAAAATCATCAGAACCAAAGTCACTTACCCTCATGACTGTTACCACTGACATGCTCTCCCCAACCTGGGGGTGGGGCACAGCCAGGCTTCCAGTGGGGAGGTCTGGTGAGCCATTCACTAAGGTCTCTTCAATTACCAGGCTTGTCTGGTAAGGTTGGTGGCTCTCCCCTACCTCCAGGGAAGCCTCATTTAGGAGCACATCCGGGCCGAGGATCTCTGAGGTGGTGATCTCCTGTACAGCACCTGGCTGGGCAAGGGCTCCCACATCCTCAGCTAAGGCCTCCACAGCCAGACATTGTTCTGCCATGCCTGCATGGCTGGGCACTGTCTCCAAGGCAGTGTTGGACACAAGGGATGGTCCTCTAGGGGACATTTGGTTCTGGGCCACACACAGCTCTAGCTGAGAGCAGCTCCGCTCCTCCTGCAGGCTGCTCTTGGGGATGATGATATAATCTGAGCGAGGGAGGATCTTGCGGAAACCTGGGATGTCCGGAACCACAGCGGTCAGTGCAGAGAGTTTAGAGTTCTGAGGATGAAAAAGCCAGGTCGGGGAGACAAGCAGAGATAAATGGAATAAGACCACATAGATATATACTTATAAGCCTTTTTTTTCTTCGTTTTTTTCTGCAAAGGAACCAGAAAGACTCCATTCTCTTGACCTAAGACTTAGGGTCAGCCTCTGCCAATAGCAATGTCATCGTCATCTGAATCACACTTTAGTCAATGTAACTTACTCACTCAATCACATAGCAGACAGATAATGTGGATTAGATTCCAAAAAGGGCACTGATCTTGGCACCTTAAACTGTGAGCTGAAATCCCAGGTCTGGCATAGTCTTAAACAAATCCTTTCCCTTTTTTTTGGCCTTGCTGCCCCATCTGTAAAACGAGGGAGCTGAATCTGGCTATCTATGAGTTCCTTTCCAGCTTTGATACTTTAGGATTCCAAAGTAGGTGAAGATTTAGATACCAGAATGTATAATGCTCAGTGAAACCTTTAAAAGCATCAAATACAAACCAACAGGCCATGTTGGATCTCAGGGCAGCAAGCAAGGATTCTGATATCACTGGCTTCTTCCAGACTTGCAAAGAAGAGAATGAACAGATCACAAAGCTATCAATCAATAAGAAGGCTTCATGAGAGAATGTGTATAGGGAAGTGGTTATCTGATAAGCACTGAATATATTGGGAGGTGATGGGGAGGGAGAAGAATATAAATATTAACAATGACCTAGGATCTTAAGGTTCAGAAAATAATTTCCTGACTTTTAAAGCAATACTACTAAGTTAGGTACTATTATTATTCCCACTTCACAAATGAGGGAACTGAAGCTCAAGGAGGATAAACTTTCCCAAAACACAGAATTAGTAAGTAGTAAAGGTGGGACTCCAGGCCAGGTCTTCTAAGGAGCAAGGAGACCAGGTACTAGAAGCACAGCCCTGCATGGCTAACTGGCACCAAGAAAAAGGTGCTTTTATTTTTTTCAATTTAAACTGAAAGTTACCCAATGAGGAAGATAGAAAAGTTCAAAATGAACAGATAAGTGAGAACTGAAATTAAACAGACCAAAAAATAATTTCAGAAGCATCATTTAAAAGGAACTAAGTCAATTACAAAAGGATCCTTAAATAAATCAAAAGCAAGAAGTCAATGAGACTACTTAGGGTACAAAGGAAGCACTCAGAGATGAAAGTTAAAAGAAGCACTGAGATGAAACATGAAAGCAGACTGTCCAAATCCTTTATGGAGCCTTTACTGGAGGGATAATTCAGAAATGATATTCTCAAGTCACGCTTTGAAGCAGACAGGTCAAGAGAACAAGACTAAATGGTGGCAAATACATAGGTTGGTCTGGACTTAATCAACAAATCCAAGCACAAGAAACCAGGGCAGCATGAATGGCAGTCATCTTACAGACTGTAAGGAATGACACTGGAACCATGGGCCCAGCCACTTGGCAGGAGACCTGAAGGGCTGCCAAGGAGACAGCCTGCCCCAAGGTCTCTGAGAGGCTCCCTAAGTAGGCAGGCAGGAGGGTCCCATCTGTACACCAGGTAATCAGGGAGAGGTCAAACAGCATATAAAGCCTGTCTTGGTACATTCCAGATGCTCATTAAATGCCACCTTTTCTTATTATATGGTCACTGGACATTTAATCTACTAAAGAGTGTTATTTACTCACCAAGTCAGAACTCAGCTAGGTGTTTTACATTGTCCATTTTAAACATTGTGAATAGATACTATTATCCCCATTTTACAAATGAGGAAAGCAGGACTCTAAGGTTAAGTGATTCTTCCAAGGTTACAGCCAGTTAATATTAGAGCTAGTCTATTAATGATCTTGGGGGTAGTGGTTGAGATGATGGTAGATATAAATTTACACATGGCTAAGGAAAAATCATTGTAGATGATCTACTTAAATTTTTTTTAAAAAAAGCCTTAATAAGGACCTATATTAGTGTCTGGTTTTAAAAACCATATCACTCCAAGATTAGGTAAAATTTTCTTATATCATGGGCAAAAAGTTTGTGACCTTCTAATGGAGAAACCAAAAATAATATGTGTACCTTTCCTTGACTCCGCCTCCCCCTCTCCACAGGGATCGTTTCCCAGACTCACAGTTTACAAACAAATCATCTATAGGAGAAGTACAGAGTGGCATCTCCAAGACTGTAGGTAACACAAAGCTCTTCCAAGAAGGTAAATGCCAAGCCAACAAGGACAAAATAATCTAAATGGCATAGTCAGTGGCAGATGGGCTCCACTAAGGGAAATACAACCCGTTCTGCTATAACATAGTTGTTGCATTCCTGAAGAACTTTTGCTCTTCATTATAAAAAAAGAAGTTAGAGACAATTGTTTCAATTGAAAAAAAAAAAAAGGAGTTAAGGTTAAAAGGTTTCAGCTTGCAATAACAAGGTTATTTTTCCTGCAGGAATTTCAGTTTAAAAAAAAAAACAGCACGGCTTCCCCGGTGGTGCAGTGGTTAAGAATCCGCATGCCAATGCAGGGGACACGGGTTAGAGTCCTGGTCCGGGATGATCCCACATGTCGCAGAGCAACGAAGCCCGGGCACCACAACTACTGAGCCTGCGCTCTAGAGCCCGCGTGCCACAACTACCGAAGCCCACGTGACTAGAGCCCGTGCTCTGCAACAAGAGAAGCCACCGCAATGAGAAGCCCGCGCACCGCAACGAAGAGTAGCCCCCGCTCGCCGCAACTAGAGAAAGCCTGCACGCAGCAACGAAGACCCAACACAGCCATAAATAAATTAATTAAATTAATAAATTTAAAAAAAAACAGCAGTGTTAACAGTTGTCAGTCCATTTTATTCCTGTGAACTAGAAATAACAAAACGGCTGACAGACACAAACCTAAGTGCTTCCTTGCTTATTCTTTAATCCAAGCACTCAAAGGCTCAATGTCCTCCATCAATTTCACCTTTAGCCTTCCACTTTTCCTTCTAGCACAGTTCAATACCACCAGTCACCAGTGGTAACAAAAGAACGTGGCCTTAAATAAAGCAGCTGTGTCTACCTCTAAACTTGCAAGCCTAATTGCTGATTACGTTATAACTGACAGTGGTGAGCACAACACAAATTAATTATACTTACGCTCAATAGATAACATGAAAATTCATGGTGTAGGGAAAATGCCTGTAGAAGCTACTCTATAAAAGAAAAATAACACTAACTACCCACAAGGACAAGTGGCTCCAAGTTTTGCTAAAATTCAGAAAAGGAACCTAAGGCTCACTGGAGATCATGTACTGCTGCAAGCAGAGTAAAGAGAGTGCAGGACGTGACCGAAATGGAAACAGACAGGGAATTCCCTGGCGGTCCAGTGTTTATGACTTGGCACACTGCCATGGCCTGGGTTCGATACCTGGTACCTGGTCAGGGAACTGAGATCCCCCAACCCACGCAGCAAAGCCAAAAAAAAAAAAGAAGCAGACAATATCAGACTCAAGAAAGGTAAAAATGACTCAACTCAAAGTTTTCCTAAGAAGAGAGAAGGAAACCGGAGAACAGGGGGTTGGACTCCCCAAAGCCTCACCACTAAGGCAATGGAGGTATTAGCTGAAGAAGAAGGAAAAAAAAATTACTTACAGGATCCAAACCTTCTTTCTCTAGTTTGGCTTTCTCCAAGTAGTAACTCCTCTCGGCCACACTGAGAAGCCTCCAGCTCTCACTAATCTTCTTATTGATCTCAGATTGAGGGAGGTGGGGGAGCTCCTGCTGCACTTTCAGGTAGATGTCGTAATAGTACAGAAGGTAAGCAGACCTGAGGAAGCAAGGACTTCTTAAGGTTTTCCCTCACTCAACCAGTAAATACTACAATGTTTGAGTAGTGAAGAGCTAAATACAAAACCCAGCTTTTCATTTCAAAAGCATTTCTCTAAATAGAGACTGAAGCAAAGATTAAATAACACCCCCAAAGGGTGAACAGGGGGAGGTTTCTCCCTCCAGAAACGTGGAAGCAAAGGCTTGTCTGGTCTACTTTTCCATGACCACTTTTTCTGCAGGGCTTAAATCCCAACATGGGCAAAGATAGATAAAGGTGTCCCGTCATTCCACTTTCAGGAAAAGGTTAGAGGACTAATTACCACTCACACCCTACTCTTCTACACAGCCTTTGGTCATCTCACTGGTCAACAGCACCTCGCCAAGGCTGAGAGAGGGAAGCAAGTAGAACTATCAAAGTGACCCAGTGCTGGGAGCCTCAGCAAGAAGTCTGGAGTGTTCACAGTTAAGAGGGAGCTTAGAGCTGCACTTTGGATATTCTTTATAGATATCATTGGCGCTATTTGTAATTCCAAATTTTTATTGATGTCCTAATTAAATATTTAAATAACAATGGCATTAATAATAAATACAGTGGTTCTCTTGTAGCGAGCTTCCACCATTTGTATGTATACTTCCTGCTAAAGCCTAGAAACTCGACCAAGATTTGGACAGGAATGGCAACGGCTGGCATCAATCGGCCACTTCCCACTCTCAATCACCGTCTCCCCCCCAACCCCACTGCCCATCAGGAGACTTCAACAAATGACATGGCACTCTCAGTGAAACTGGACACAGGCTAAAGTCTTCTTCAACACAGCTCTCCAAGCAGCTTCTGTTTATAAATGCCAGCTATCAAAATGTGTTGGCTAACCTGGGTTTCTTGGCCTTTTCTCCATGTATTTTATACTTTTTCTTCTTCTTGGGTGGCCCAGGGGAGGTGTAACAGTAGGCTTCCTCAATTTCCTCCATCACGACAGTTACCTCAGTACCATCATATGATGCATCCATGGCTAGAGGAAAGTCAAACATAAACAAGGTTCAAGAACCTACCCTAAAGGGGAGAGCGGCCTCCTGATCCAATGATCCTTATCTCTGCCTTAAGACTCAGTCATTTGCCAAACTCATCAGATGGAGCCTAAGAAGCACCTGGGGAACCTACTAAACATTCAGATTCCAGGGTTCCACCTCAGCCCTTCTGAATCAGAATCACTAAAGGGTGTGGCAATCCGTGTGCTTAACACTTGCACCTGGTGAGTCCTCTGACTAGGCAAACCTGGGATCACTAGCTTAGAGAGCCCTTTCACTTTTATTCACTCATGGGATGCTCAGTAATCCAACTCGAAGATTAGCCCCACGTTACAAGAATTCCATATGGTAACAGGTAAATACTTGGCCAGGAGTCAGTTCTGGACACTCCCTCATGGCATCACCTTAATCAAAATGCTTCACTGATTCACTCATTCATTCAAACGTGTTAAGTGCCAATGTGTAGCAAGTTTCTTGTAATGTAGCAACATTCTGCCAGTTTGTTTGTATGACTTTGGGCAGGTCCTTTAGCTGCTTTAGGTTCAATTCTCTCACACATTAACGAGATGTCTCACCCACCTTACCACACTTATAGTGATAAGGCTCAAGGACATAACTCCATTTGAGAATAGTGCTATACAAAAAGGGTTCATTATTAAAGGTGAATCATCTCTGCCTGAGATGCTTAACGACCTGCCCAAGGCCACCACACCCAGGAACTTGAAAGGCAGATTTTTTAGTTCAAAAATCCAACTGTGAGCCTTCTTCCATTATACTATACTGCTCCCATCTCCACCCACAACCCTCTAAACCAGCACTGTTCAAAAAACTTTTTGTGATGACAGAAATGTTCTTCATCTGTGCTGCTCCAATACTGTAGCTACTTATGGCTATTGAGCACCTGAAATACGGCTTGTGTGATTGAAGAACTCAATTGATTTCATTTTCTTTCATTGTAATTGGTTTAAATAACCACACATGGTTAGCAACTACGGTACTGAACAACTCAGGTCTAAACAGTAATCTGACAGACTGATATTAACTCTCTAGCACTGGCCTAAGAAACAAAAAACCTACTAATAGCTTCTCCTAGGGAAAGGAAGGCATTAAAAAAATTCAATGACTAGTTCAAGAAGAGTTAGTTTATTTCTGGCCACATTCTAAGTTGGAGTTTTACCCACAGACTCAATCCTTGGGTTCAAGAAGAGTTAGTTTATTTGTGGCCACACGCTAAGCTGGAGTTTTACCCACAGACTCAATCCTTGGATGGAGAAAGGCTCCCAAAAACCACTTGAATTTTATGAGAGAAATAATATAGTTGCTCTGGGAAATCTGTCAGAAGATAATTTAGGATTCTGGGAAGAAGGAGCTGTGTAAGTAAATACGGAACTGATAAGTGTATTACAAGGCCCACTCACGTCTCATTTAGAACTCACTCCACAAATGACGAGGTATCTGATAAAGTATAATGAGAAAAAAAGCACTGTGTGTTGAGTCAGGAGACCAGGATCCAAGTCTAAATTCTAACCATGCGATCTCAGATAAGTCTATTCCCCTCCCTAAATTTCGGTTGTTCCTCAAGTGAGACTGAAGAGGCTGAAATCAGTGGCTCCTAACTTTTTGAGAGGCAAGAATCCCTTTGAGAATGTTGTAAAGCGGGAAAAACCCTCTCCCAGAAAATGCAGACAGGTATTTCACCTATAATTTCAAAGATATACCTGAGGCTAAGAACACGTTATTCCTAAGGTTCTTTCTAGTTCTGTACCATGTCTAAATGATTTCCCTTCCCATTGGAAAACAAAACAAGAACAACAACAAAAGAACCCCACTGCATTCTGTTATAGTGCAACTCTGGAGAACATAACCCACAACTTGGCTCGGTAAGAGATAGGCCAGTGCCTTCATTGGGTAAGGGATGCTAGGGTTCAAATCAAGGCTATGTGGGGATGTGCTTTTTTTGCCTTTCATAATTGACTTCTCAGCCCTTGAGTCTTGCAGAGAAAAGCAATACTGCAGGAGAGCTTCTGTAAAGAATGACATACAGGGTTTTAGCACCCAGAGCAAAACAAATTAGAAAACAAAGTCATTACAATCATATTGGCGTAGAGGCAAGAAGAGACTGAGTTTTGGCTTGTTTGAGTAGCCCGGTTTAAGCCTGGGTCCAAGAGTATTTTCACATCCTAGGCCTCAGTACAGCAATGCAAAAAAAAAAAAAAAAAAAAGGCACGATAATATAAAGGTTAAAACCAAGGGCTCTGGAGGGCAGAAAATCAGGGTACTAAATTTAAGTTACCCATTTTAACAGGACGCGCACAGAGCTCTATGGCCTTGAGCAATCTACTTACTCTCTCTAAGCCTCAGTTTTCTAATCTGTAAAAGAGAAGTAAGGCAGTACTTGAAATTTGTGACACTCTTTCACTGTCCTATCAGATCCTCCTCGGAACCCCATTAAATGGCTTCTGACAGCTCAGCAGTGGGCCATGGTCGGCCTACGGGCCTTAGATGTCCCAAAGGTACCGAATGCGGGAGGTGGAAACTAAGGCTCACTACTCCTACTTCGTAGAAGAGGCAACAAGGCTCAGAGAGCCGCAGCTCCCAGCTCGTGGGCGCCCAGCCGGTGCGGTGCGGTGCGGCGCTCGAAGGTGGGACTTACCCGGAGAAGCGTGCAAGCCGCGCGGCTCACATTCCCGGAGGCGCCCGGCCAGGGGGCTCGACGGGGGGGCTGGCCAGCGCACTCGCGCTCCCCGCTGTCGGAGAGAGGCGGCTCCAGTCGTGGCAGTGGCAACAAGGAAGTGGAGACGAGGACTCGCGCGCGCATCCCGGGGGCTAGAGGAGCCCCGGCCCCGCGGCCCCGCCCGGCGACACACGGCACGGAGTCGCGACAGCCCCTCTCTCTCCCCTTCCTCGGAGTCGTGATATGGGATTGTAGAGGGCGGGTGTGGGAGCACAGGTTCTCTCTGCAGGCTCTTCACCGACGCCTGCCGAGAGCCCCGGGGGTCAAGCCCCGGGGAGCCCGAGGAAGACAGCAGGGACACGGGCGTCGCCGCGGCACCGGCTCAGCGGCACCAGCAGCAGTAGCACACCTCGGCTCGCTAGGAAAACCCGTCCCGGCTGCCCTCGCGGCGCGCCGGAAGCGGCCGGCTGCGCGTGACTGCTTGCGACCCCTTGCGCAGGCGCAACAGTCCAGCCCGGGCTGAGGGGCGGGCCCCTAGAAACCGCTTAGAGGCTTAGAAGGGGGCCGCTAAGGCGGACGGACTACTTCCTGCTAGAGGTTCCGGGAGGAGGAAGAAGCTGCGGCCGCCCACGGTGGACGCCCTCAGCCCCCGGGCGTTGCCGTAGGGCATTCAGGTAAATAGGGCGGGGCTGTGGCGAACGTGAGGGGTCGAGGCTCCGCCTCGCCTGTCAAAGCCACGTCTGGCCAGGAGAGCCCGAGCACCACCCTCCCAGCACGGAGTTCAAGGCCTGACCCCAGTCCTCATCACTCTGTCCCGGCTTGTTCAGGACAGGGTTCTTCTTAGTGCCGCATGAAGACGTCCTCCTCACCCCAGTGATCTGCCCTCAATCCGTCTCTCCCACCGTCCCACACTCAGTAATGGCAGTGAGTGATTCAAACGGAGCTGAATGACCATGTGGAGAGGCTCTGGAATCAGATAAGGATTCTATTGTCCCTTCCCGCCGATGTCACAGATGGTGCCACATTCGTACAAGTCCCCTCACCCTCACTACCTTGCAAGTGCATTTCCAATCTGCCTACTTTTCTCCATCTACCACCGTCACCAGTCTTCTCCTAGTCACCGTCATCTCCTGCCTGGACTGGGGCAATTTCTTCCCATCTCCTCTCTTTTCCCTCTACAATCTATTCTCCACAACACGCAAATTGATCTTTCTGCACTGTAAGCCTGATTAGGTCACTCTCTGCTTAAGACCCTCCAGTGTCCTCTTGTTTACTTAGAATAAAATTCAAACTTATCTCGACCTACAAGACTTTGGTTTGGCTCTTGATTCATTCTCTTTCCACATCTCTTCTCAGTACTGGTTGTTCCCAGAACAAGCTATATAGCACTCTAGTGTTCAGAATGCTAGCTTTGCGCTGAGCCTCCTTGGGATTGAATCCCGGTCCTACCACATGTAAGCGATATTAAGCATGGAAAGTAACAAATTATGATTACAAAGGACCAATAATTGGTTCTCATTTCAGTAAATGGCATCACCATCCACTCAATTGCTCAGGGCTCAAGCCAGAAATCTGGGAATTATCCTTGACTCCTCTTGCACCTCACATCCAGTCCATCAGCAAGATCCGCAAAAACATAGTCCCAAACTGACTACTTCTTACCATCTTCACTATTACTCTACCCAAGCCACCATTATCTCACATCTGGACTCCGGCAACAGCCTCCTAACCAGTCTCTTTCTTTTTCTCTGACACCCTTCCATTCCATTCTTCACACAGCAGTCATCTTTCTCCGTGCTTAAAATCCTCCAGGAGCTTCTTGTTGCACTCAAATTAACATATCCCAACTATATATGGCCTACTAGGGTAGCCTGCATTTACCTTCAGATTTAGGGCCACCTCTTAGGAAAATGGACTTTACCTATTAGGTTCTCCACCTTGCACCCAAAAGACTCTTTCTAAAGTGCAAATCTGATCATGTCATTCCAAAAACAAAAAACAAAACTCCAAAGGCATCTTATTGTCCCAAGATCCTTGTTCTCTTCTCCAAAGACTTTTTTTTTTCCTGATCATGTCTTTTTATTTTCTATAGTACTTCATTGCCTTTACACATGTTTCCTTCTATCTCATGAATTCCTATTTGTTTATACTTTAAGTCCCAACATCAATATTTTTTCCTCTTTGAAGTACACTGCCCATCTGTGTCCCACCCAGTTGATCATCCCACTTCTGTCTTCTCGTCCACAGTACTCTGTAACCTCTGTTATAGCACTCCATAGTCTAGTTTTGTCTTCCCTGGTAAGCTCCTCAATGGTAGGCACTATGCTGCATTCATCTCTGTATGGCTGGCATCGAGCACAGTGCTTAGCACACAGAGGATGCCATGAATGGATAGACAGATGTGTGGGGGTAGTGACAAAAGTCAGTCCTTAAAAAGGGGCAGTCACAGCCTGAAGCACAGCAGCTTCTCTTGTTCTTTGAGGACTCTCATGATAAAAGGTTTAAGCAGGCAGTTACCAAAACTGCTACTGTTGGGTCACGTTTATTTCCTTCATAGCACATACCACACTCTGTAATTAACTAATTTATCTGTTCACTTATTATGTCCCTACACCACATTGTATTATTTCATAAGGGCAGGGACCTTGACTATGTTGTTCTTCACTGCGTTCTTACCACTTGGCACCTGTAAATATTTATTAAATGAATGTGTGGCTATGAGAAACATCTTCCGGCAGTGAAAAATCCTTCCAAGCCAAGCAGCGATAGAGCTATGAAGATCTCACTGTGGTGGAATTTCAAGCAGGACTATGGAGTTGCAGAAATAGCACTGATCTGAGTCAAGAAATCTGAGCTGTATGAACCTGGGTAGGCCCCTTCCCTAGGCCTCAGTTTCTGGATCTTTAAAATGAGCCAGATAATAATTCCTTGAATTTATACAATGCATTGCTATTTGCAAAGCTCTTTTACCATCTGTTACTTGAATATAGTCTCACAATAGACAGACCAGACACTGTTATTATTTTTACAAAGGCTCAGAAAGTTTAAGTAAACTAGACTATATCTCTTTTATTTCAAACATTCTATGAGTCTGTATAAATAACCTCTACAAAAAGTCAGTAGCATGATCCTATCTTCTCTTGGCTTCGGCCTTATATTATCATTTTTCTAATACAATTTTTAAAAATCTGAACCCATCTTTTAGGGGGAATCCATTATCTTTGGTTCCTGATAGGCACTCCATTTTGTCTTCTCAGTTTTCCTTACTTGTAGCAAAACAAGCCAAGAGGAGGAACAGACACAGCCCTGGTAGTTGTGGTCCGGCCCTCATTCTACAGATATGGCAAACAAGGGGAACAAGAAACGTCGGCAGTTCTCCCCAGAGAAGAAAATGAAAGTTGTGGAAGCTGTGGACTCAGGCAAGAGGAAAGGCGATGTGGCAAAAGAATTCAGAATCACTCCTTCTACTTTGTCTACATTCTTAAAGGATCGTGCCAAATTTGAAGAAAAGGTGCGGGAGGCATCTGTGGGACCTCAGTGGAAAAGGATGAGGAATGCTCTTTATGACGACATTGATAAGCTGTTTTTGCTTGGTTTCAAGAAATCCATGCCAAAAACATTCTCGTGACTGGTTCTGTCATTCGGAAAAAAGCACTAAACTTGGCCAACATGCTTGGCTATGACAATTTTCAAGCAAGTGTGGGCTGGCTGAACAGATTTCATGATCGCCATGGAATTGCTTTGAAAGCAGTCTGTAGAGAGCATAGTGACAGATTAATGAATGGTCTAGGAATAGATAAGGTTAATGAGTGGCATGCAGGGGAAATTATAAAACTAATTGCTGACTACAGCCCAGATGATATCTTTAATGCTGATGAGACAGGAATGTTTTTCCAGTTGCTTCCCCAGCACACACTTGCTGCTAAAGGGGACCATTGTAGAGGGGGCAAGAAAGCAAGGCAGTGGTTGACAGCACTCTTTTGTTGCAATGCTTCAGGGACTGAAAAAATGAGACCATTGATTGTTGGTAGGTCAGCCAACCCACGTTGCCTCAAGAATGTCCATTCCCTCCCTTGTGACTACCGAGCCAACCAGCAGGCGTAGATGACACAGGATCTGTTTAATGAGTGGCTGATCACCTCGGTGCTTTGTGACCGCCTGGAGGGGTGGGATAGGGAGGGTGGGAGGGAGGGAGACGCAAGAGGGAAGAGGTATGGGAACATATGTATATGTATAACTGATTCACTTTGTTATAAAGCAGAAACTAACACACCATTGTAAAGCAATTATACTCCAATAAAGATGTTAAAAAAAAAATGAGTGGCTGATGCAAGTGGACGCCAGAATGAAGCAGGCAGAACGCCGGATCCTCCTGCTGATTGACAACTGCTCCACTCACAACGTGCTTCCACGCTTGGAAAGGATTCAGGTGGGGTATCTGCCCTCAAAGTGTACTGCTGTCTTGCAGCCACTGAATCTTGGCATAATTCATACCACAAAAGTGCTGTATAGGAGCCACCTGCTAAAACAGATCCTCCTCAAGCTCAACAGCAGTGAAGATCAAGAAAAAGTGGACATCAAGCAGGCCATTGACATGATTGCTGTGGCATGGTGGTCAGTCAAGCAGTCCACAGTGGTGAAATGCTGGCAGAAGGCAGGTACCATCCCTGTGGAATTGACAGATTCTGACGTAGAAGCAGCAGCCAGTGAACCAGATACTGTCATTGAAAAGTTGTGGCACTCAGTGACGATTGCCACCTGTGTCCCAAATGAAGTAAATTTCTGGGACTTTGTCACTGCAGATGATGGTCTCATCATGTCTCAGGAGCTGCTGGACACAGGTCATCCAGGACATGGTGGCCGGTGAAAGGACTGATGAAGCTGGAAGTGAAGATGAGGGGGAGGCACCTCTACCACAGCAGCCAAAAGTCACCACCACAGGGCTTCCCTGGTGGCGCAATGGTTGAGAGTCTGCCTGCCGATGCAGGGGACACGGGTTCGTGCCCCGGTCCACGAAGATCCCACATGCCGTGGAGCGGCTGGGCCCGTGAGCCATGGCCGCTGAGCCTGTGCGTCCGGAGCCTGTGCTCCGCAACGGGATAGTGAGAGGCCCGCGTACGGCAAAAAAACAAAAACAAAAACAAAAAGTCACCACCACAGAGGCCAGCTCAAGTGCACAGAAACTTAGACGGTTCCTTTCCACTTGTGTAGGTGTTCCTGATGCCATTTTTGGACAGCTAAATGGCATAGATGAATATTTAACGAGAAGAGTGACACAAACTCTTGTTGATTCCAAAATTACACAGTTTCTCTGAACAAAATAATGTAGAAATTAACTGCCTCTTTTAATTTAGAAGATGTAGTTTACAAGAATAAATATTTATTTAGCTAGGATATTGAACTTAAATTTTAAGCAATATTATTGTGACAACATTCCAGTTTTCTGAAATAATCAGGAAACTTTCTTGAATGGAATTTGGGGCCAAAGACTTTTCATTTCTAACAAGTTCCCAGGTGATGCCAATGCTGATGTGGTCCAAGGTCCATGCTTAAGAACCACTGGTCCACCTGGATTCTAGCACTTCTCTCTTTAGCTGGCCATCTGAATACTCCCAATCACTGACTGTCAAAAAAAAAAAAAAGAAGTATCAGCTGTTCTTACTCCAGAACTGTTAACTCCTTCCTGCTGATTTGGTAACTCCAGAACCTTCTTAGCTATTCTCTTGAATGCCCCACCAAGTACTCAGTAGGGGTGCATCTGTGCCAAAAGACTTAACAAGAGCCATCTAGCCTATCAAAGCATCTTTTAATACTTCAGGATTATTATTAGTACGATGCTGGGGTACAGGGAAATAAAGTGCCTGAAAGAGGAGACATGATACAATCTGGAAGATGTGGTAAATATCAGAGAATGCTGTTAATCACAATCATGGGAGAGAACATACATCCCAGTGTACCTCTCAAATCCAGACAAGGTGAGAGGAACATTTGTGAGAGAGATGACATGTGTGAGAGTGTTTGGATTATTTGGATAATCCACAGTGGTCCTCTCCACACCTGTGGATAATCCAGCCTCATGTCGTTAATGTTAGGGCACACTATGTTTCCCTTCCCTAAAATCACTTCATAAATCACCCTTATTCCTTTGTGTTTGTTCTTCAGAGAAGTCTGCTACAGCAGAGTTGATTTAAGTTATTTAAAGCTGTATAAATTTATCATCAAATTTATCTTAAAGTTTTTCTCCTATAAAAAAGGCATTCTTGGACTTCCCTAGTGGCTCAGTGGTTAAGAATCCGCCTGCCAATGCAGAGGACACAGGTTCGAGCCCTGGTCCAGGAAGATCCCACATGCCATGGAGCAACTAAGCCCGTGAGCCACAACTACTGAGCCCATGTGCCACAACTACTGAAGCCCGTGCGCCTAGAGCCTGTGCTCCGTAACAAGAGAAGCCACTGTAATGAGAAGCCCACGCACCACAACAAAGAGTAGCCCCGGCTCACCATAACTAGAGAATGCCCCCATGGGCAGCAACGAAGACCCAACGCAGCCAAAAATAAAAATAAATAAAATTAATTATTTTTTTAAAAAGGCATTCTTAATATCCTTTAAAACCCTAGTATCTATTTTCTAATGAGTCAGATAAGTGTCAGTTTCATTTTTAGAAGGTACACACAAGACCTGTTAGCGTTGTAGTGTAGTTCCCTGCCCCAGCTTAATTTTGTGGCTATTTCAGAAACCCGTAGCAATTCAGTTATTCTTCTTTCTGCAGTTACTTAATTGAGACATGTATAAAGCAGATTAATCATAGAAAGTACTGCTTCCACGCTGAACAAAAAACACCAAAAAACAGCAGACGTTTGAATAGATGTGTATTTAAAGCTTATTTGGGGTATTTTTCCTTTTAACGAACTAGTATAACTTGAATTAAAAGTACTATACATATTTTAAATTATTAACACATAAGCAAGGAAAACAGTGTCTTCTGGATAAGTCGCGTGGTTCTGTCCCATTATCAGCGCCTTAACTGCTCCCATCATCCGTGTCAGGATTACTGACGAAATTTCTAATTTCTTCCCTCATCTTTCTCCTGAAGTCCATTTTGCGCATAATGTTAGACCTCTTTCCCCTGCCCAAGTGTCTGTGGTGGCTCTCAAATGCCTACAGAAATAAAAGACTATTCATCTGAGTTTTAGCCCCCTCTGGAGTTGACTGCTTGGTTGCTCAGTACAATTTAGTGTGTGTGTGGCCCCACCATGGGCCGTTGTCTTCACTCCATACCCATGTCTGCTAGTGTGCCTTTGCCTGAATGCCTCACCCTGTTCTCTACCAAGCTGGACCTTACACATTCTTCAAGAACTAATTGGAGTCCTCTTTCTTCCAGCGTTTCTTAAAGACTCCAGCACCTGCTCTACCCTTCTCTCCCTCAACTCCTCAGCACTTTTGTCTCTAAACTATTCAGTTAAGCACTTAAATGTTTTGCCAATGTTCTGTGGCTCTTTAGACTGTAAGTTCCACGAGAGCAGGGACCACTCAGCCTTTGTAACCTTAAAGGTGCCTAGCACTGGGCTGGGAACATCATAGGCATGTCAGTAAACATTTGTGTATAAATTGACACACAAGTAAGGTCAAAGCCACCTTATTTTTAAAGTTGCATGAAGCACTAATTCTACTAGAAAATGACTTGGAGATAAGGTAGGGCTGTCCTCTATTTAAAAGGATTTGCAGAATTTTTCCATGAATATCATTGCTCAAATATTATTCCAGTCCAGGGTATAATCTATTCTTTGATAGTGAAGAATTCTCATCTATGGAGTTAAACCTGTTTCCTTCCACAGAAAGTCACTGCAGGATTCTCCATTTCTACAAGACTTTAGTGTGAAAGGCTTTGTCTAAGTGCTTTGCATATAGTAATATTCAGTAAGTATGTACTCAAACTTGGTTTGTTTTTTTTAAAAAGAAATCTCACATTCTTGACTCATTTAACATATCATATGAATTATATCCAAGTAGATGGAAATCACATCCAAAAGAGAGCAAGGTCTGGTTTATATCAGGTGAAAGTCTGCTTCTCTTGGACATAAGGGGTTTTTTGACACTTTGTTTCTTAAACTAAAAAAGGTTGATATTATCCTTTCTTGGTCTGCTGTCTTTATCAAGCCCTCTGTGGCTTCTCCCTGACTCTCTGTTCCCTCCAACCCCACTTGAGGATATAGTTTTGTCCCATTTGACCAATCTACTCTGTAAGCCAACCTTCTGGGACTAAGGACCTACCTCAATTGTGCTGTCATGAGGATAAAAAGGTATACCTGGCACAGACTAAATGTTCTACAAATGCTGTCTGTTGTCATTACTGTCCATCCTATTTGGAACCTTACCATCTAGAGGCAGGGACCTGCCTTACCACTAAAATATCTTGGGGTTCATTGTTCCAGAACCACACAGCCTGTTCCTAAGGGCTCTTTCATTAAAAAGGAAGGAAGCTAAGCCTTATTGATTGCCTATTTATGTCAAGCACTATTTCACTTATAATTTAATCTTTCCAGCAAATCATAATACCAAAGGATAGACAGGTCTCCAAATTTGCAGACCTATTAACTGTTCTGCTACTGGGGCCACAGTTGTCTTTGAAGTGGGATGTGGTAGAGCATATTCCTGCCACCAGAGGGCAGAGGTGAGCTACATAAGGGAGACAATTCAGCCAACTGAAGAAACTAGGAGCAGCCACTTGTAATTTCTCTTAGTAGAGACTGAGAAAGTAGTCGAGAAAAGAGAGAAGAGACATAGGATGTGGGACTTGTTCAAACAACTGACTTAGAAATAACTGTACCTCAAACTACCCAATTCACCCCATTATACACACCTATCCCTTCACCTACTGATAACCACAGGCCATGTAATTGACCCTGGGCAGATAATTGATGTGCCCTACAAATGAGCCAGTGTTAGAGAAATAGCCACCCATCAAACATATCCATGCCTTCAGTAATCACTGAAATATTGGACCTTATAAAATACCCACTGCTGGCCAGAGAGGCTCTAAGGATGAATTAAGTTCATGACCCTACCCTCAAGCAGTCCAGTAAGCAGAGGAGATAGATGAGAGGGAAAAAATAATAATACAGAGTGGTAAATGCCATTTTAGAGAATAGTCAGAGAATTTACAGGAGTAGAGATAGAGCCCAAAGGAGCCCCTGCATGAGAGAAGAGGAATTCAATAGGAAATGTTGCCAAGAGCAAGGGACACTTAATATGAAGTATCTGGAAGGAGGAGTAGGGAGTTAGGTATATGGGGTGGGGAAGCAATTCCTGGCAGAAGGAACAGCATATATAAAGGTCTGGGGTATTACAAAATGGCCCATTTGGGAACAGTTAAGGTCAGAGGTAGGTATGTCAAGCAAAGGATGTGTGGTAAGATGGAGATGTAAGCAAGATCATAGTTTTTAAGGTCTTGTGGGCTAAAGCATTCATTTTGAACTTACCCTGAAAACATTGGAGAACCACTTACAAGTAGCAAACGTCAAATTATTTTTTAGAAATTGATTGATAACTAGTGTGGAGGCTGAGCTGTAGAGATACAGGTAAACTACTTAGGCTATGGCATCATCCTGAACAGAAATGATACACACTGAGGGCACGAAAGAGATGTTGGATTTGAAAGACTCTTGCCAGGTAGATGGATTTGGTGTGTGAGTTGAAGAGGAATATTCTAGAATTTCCCAGGATTCTGGCTTGAGTAGCTAGCTCATGCCATTATCAAGATAGATAAAACAGGAGGAGTGTGGGTGTATGTTGCTTATGAAATGCCCCTGGGCATCCAGGTTGAACTGTCCAGTAACAGCTGTGGAGATTTATATATAGACAGATAATGCTGGTTGGTGTTCTAGAAATGTCAGGCTGGAAATCATGTTTGGCTGCCGTTAGCATGCATATAATAAGGTAGTTGAAGCCATAAATGTGGATGTAGTCATCTGGGGAGAGCTTACAATGCAAGGTGTTTATGATATGGGGTCCATGAACCAGCCTTTTTAATAATCACGTGTATGTATATACATGCACATGTGAATATTTCTCCAAGAAAAGCCATACTTTCATCAGTCACAACTGGATCAGAAAATTAAATGAGAGACAAGGCCAAGGACATAAGCATTGAAAGGACAGATGGGATAGCACAATCCTCCAAGTTGGCTGGAGGAGATGCTAGAGAATGAGTGTGTGAGGCGCTTCAGGGGCTCTGGATCCCAGATGCTGCATGCAGACAGAGTGGGTGCACCCTCCTTCACTCTGTGGGTAAGGATGAGCTTAGAGGCAGAATGCTCAGGGTTAC